CTTCCGATCAAGATGGTGTAAGGGAAATAGAAGAGAAAGAAAAATTGAATTTTCTTTTTACTAATTTGATTGGATAAAAAAATAAAATAAAGAAAATAAACTTATAAAGACATTTTTGCCTTTAATATATAATAAATTTTATAAAAAAATTATATAATAATAAGGTTAAACTTATAATTTGAGTCCCACATTTTTATAATTTAATTCTTTATTTTTTTTATTTAACAAAAGATTTTGTGCTTAAGTGAAATTCACTTCTTTTTTTTCTCTCCTCTACTTTTCTCCCAAAACAAACAGCATAAAACTACCTTTTTCTAATTCATTTCTCCCATCTCATTTTCTATCTTCTCAACTTTTACTCAAAACAAACAAAGGTTAGAGTAGTTTCCAATTTAGCTAAAATTAGTTGTGTGAGTATGATTAGCTGTGCATGTAGCTTCCATATTCATCTCTTTGTATATATGTAAATAATTAATGCATTACTTTTCCAGTTCATACTGTTGGCCTTCATCAGAATAAATAGGTGACCCCCTTTTCATTTCTAGTGGACACCATCACTGCTTTGCCTACACTATGTTATGGAAATCACTGTTTATCCATTAATGGTGTTTGCACATATTGTGAAAGCTCTCATTCTACACCGAATCTGCAAGCTTTTTTGGATATTTTGTCAAGGATCAACTGTGCCATTCTAACATCATTTTCTGGCAACTGTTTCAATGCTTGATAAGAGGATAATAGGTGGTCACTTAGTAGTCCTATATATGTCTAATGAGATGGTAATTAAAATATCTTGGAACTATTCTTATAGTGGGAAAACATCTTTATCTGGACTTTAGTTACTTACACAATAAACGTTTCTCCAAATTTGAAGACTGTGATTATACCTTTCAATTTAGTAAACTTTCCCTTATTTAAAATATCTTAGTATATGAGAAGTTTTTCATGCCTTAAAATTATATTTATTTATATATTACTTAAAAAAAACAAATATTATATTACATTAAATTAATGAACTAATAGTTTAGTCTGTATGTAATGACCTGTATGTAATGACCTGTCTGGCCGTCACACAACAACTCACACAACACCACACAGAATAAAACATACGTATATAAGAATAAAATATATACAATATGTCTAGCCTGGGGCTCAATATATAAAATACATCCAAAATAGTCAAACTAGTGGCCAAAAATAACAAACAGCAAACTCCATCTGCCAATTGCAGACCTGCCTCACACACCAACCTATCCCTGTTCTGCTCTCATACACAGTATGATCATTGCAATCCAAAGCACATGGAAACAACAAAGGGTAAGCTAGTGAAAAGAATCAGCTTATACACATATAATTACAAGAATTATAATCAGCTACAACTATCAACATATCATTAAATTCAGTATTGAATCAGCATACAACACATCACAACATACATCTCACATCATTCAGCCAAAAATAGCATTAAACAAGCAATGTG